GTATAAATAGTATATATATACCATTCAGTCAGTGTTCGAATAGAAACCCCAGGATGTAAACACCTGTTTGTGTGCGGTTGTGAGCATATATGTATATACAAGATCTTCTCCAGTGGAATGTTTTTTTGTCTGTATCTTCGTTTATTAATTGGCCCTACAGTGCAAGAGTTCAGAAGTGTTGGCATGCTTTTTCTTTTTCTTTTGTTTTAACTCGTGTTTTAACTTTGCCACTCTTTACTTCCACCAGGTGTCCTACAGGAGCTCGGGAGTTCAGACCAGGACTGTGTGTCTCAGAAGGAGGCTGAGCGTTTCGTAGTTAAGATGGACCAGAGTGCTCAGGCACGAATTGACAACCTCATCCAAGAAGCACAAAGCAATTCCTATACACTCTACATCCTGGTTCATGACCATGCACACTGGGATGTTTGCAGGTTTGCTCGAAAAGCAGGAAGAAATACACAAATCCTAACAAATATTGTGTTGACTTCCCATTGTCTCTTCAGTGTATTCATTGACGGTGTTGACTCAGCCTCTGGCTCTGTTTCCTGTCTTTCTCAGCTCATCCTGCTGCAGCACTGACAGTGGTGTGGGTCTGGTGGATAAACTGTTGAACTCACGACAGGTGACAGAAGCCACAAACATTCTGATACTTCACGTCACCTCATTTCCCTTCGTTCTTCAGACACAATGCACTCGCATCAGCCCCTATAACGAGATAAACTGGCCGTCTGCATTCTGTAATGTAAGTTTTATTGATGATGTTTGGTGGAACACATAAAAACCCTTCTGTTTTCAGTGGAACAAATGGTTGATTTTGGGTGCTTGCACGTGCAGGATGTGGACCTATATCATGAGAAGACGCGGTACTTTGGTGTGTCTGAGATTTTGGAGACAACTCGCTCAGGAAATAGCCTGCCTCTGATGCGTTACGATTCCTCTTTTGAAAGCATGGCATCTACCCTTGAAGAAAGGTTCTGCACCCACAAACAGCACTCTTAATGAGTTGAACACCGGACAAAGTTTTAGACTACACTACAAATACAACTGGAATCCTATTCAGTCTTTATCTTTTTTTTTTGTTTGTTTGTTTCCAGGTTTCCAAAGCTGCACAGCGCTGTGATCCGTACTACTGTCTTGATCCGGCACTACTGTGTGGCACTGGTGGTTGCATCAGGAAAAATGAGCAACTCTTCCGATCTCCACAAACACACCTCTGTGGAGACCATGGAAATTGTCCAATCTCTGCTCACATCTGCCCAGCAGTGCCCCGCCCACCACGGTCACATGATCCTGCTGCGGATCCCTTCCCTGGCTTTGGCAGCGTGGGCCCACCGACGACTGTCAAGAGTGAGGAGGCAGCTGGGGCTAGAGGAGCGTTTTGAAATTGTCCTGGGTAATCCTAATCAAGCTCTGACTATTGGACAGACTTTCACTGATCAGATCAAGGTATGTTAGTTCATGACGTCAACATAAAGTATGAAATAAAAAATCAAAAAGAAAAAATAAGTAGGTCCTCTGGATGGGTTCTTCTTTAGTGAAACATTTTGTCTCTCCTCCACGAGACTTCTTCAGTCTGATGAGTTTCAGCTGAACTCAGCCTTATAAGCACTGCCTCCACATGGACAAACAGGTTAGCAGTGTTGTATAAAGTACCTCAAAGTGATACTTGAGTAAAAGTACAATTATCATAAAAGTACTTTGGTAAACGTTAAAGTCTTCTCTAAAAATATTACTTGAGTAAAAGTCTTAAAGTATCTGATATTTTTTGTACTTAAGTATCATAAGTTCGTTTCTGACACAAAATCTACTTAAGTATTAAAAGTAAAAGTACTGAGTGAAAGTGAGCAGTTAGATTTTCCTAAATGACATTTATCGGGAGGTGACTTCTCCAAAAATTATTTTTTATAACAGCGTGCAGCTGTGATGGGTTTTGTACAAAGTAATAGGGTGTCAGAATGGTAAATATTTATACTTCTCATCCAACCACAATTAAATTCACTCTATCCAGGAGACACAATTTATCAGGATAGTATTTTTTTAAGTAATAACTTGGAATAAAATAGGAGTAACGACTTTCTATTTCTTACCTTTTTTAAAAAATGTAGTGAGTAGAAAGTACAGATAATTGTGTAAAAAATGTAATGAGTAAAAATAAAAAGTACGCTGAAAAATAATTACTCAAGTAAAGCACAGATAACCAAAGTACAGTAACAAAGTATTTGTACTTAGTTACATTACAACTCTGCAGGTTAGTCACATGCAAAAGAGGGCCAAAACTTGGCCCTCTTTTGCATGTGACTAACCTGTTTGTCCATGTGGAGGCAGTGCTTATAAGGCTGAGTTCACCTGAAACTCATCAGACTGAAGAAGTCTCTTGAAGGAGAGACGAATCGTTTCACTAAAGAAGAACCATCCAGAGGACCTACTTATTTTTTCTTTTTGGATTTTTCTACCTGGATTACTGGGATGCATCAGGACAAATGAAATAAAAACATATTGCGAAAATTGTGTATCTCTGTGGGGTATTTGTGTTTTTGTTCCTTAGATATGGTTAAAGATTCAGGATGCTGAGTGGGTTCCTCGTACGTACTTGGAGCTAGAGGCCCTCCCCTGCATCCTTATCCTGGCAGGGGCTGAGCCAATGGGAGAATCATTGCCCAGGTACACACACTGAGAGCTAAACATAAATAACTTCTGATTAAAAAAAACATATTTTCTGATCTTTTTTAAAGAAAAAGAAACCCCTAAAATGAAAATATATTCCAGGTCATTGAAGTATTGTGATCTTCGGGTGATAAGCTGCTCCTACCTGCAGCGCACGACTCTTGAACAAGAGCTGGGACTGGCTGCTTATTTGGTGAAGGCAGAGTCACGACTGCCACACAAACCTGGACCAGGAAGCAATGAGATGGAAAGTGATGCTGATAAACTCAGCAGCACAGACAACGAAGAGGAGGAGGGACAAGGAAATGGTAAAGCGAGACTCAAAATGAACAGGGTTGTAAAAAAGACTAATTATTTGTGACCCGTCACATCGAAACGAGGATTAAGTCTAAAAGTTGTATGTGGAGAAATAGACAGTGTTTTGAATAAAAAGCTCACAAATATTACATTTAGTCAAAATATAACAAAGAAATGTGTTATCAATGTATTATTTCAATGAACTGTCTTAAATATTATCCTAAATAAATTTTTAAGCCCTTTTTTGAGCATTAGCAACAAAAAACCCAATTATGAGGAAAAACGCCTTAAAATGTTGAGATTTTCCCTGTGAGCTATCAAAGCTTTTGTTTCTTTCCAGCTGGGAAATCTCAATATTCAAAAACTGAGGTTTCTTTTTTCAAATGACAGAAAAATCCTCATTAAAATTACATAAAATTATGATTTAGACCAAATATTTATGTATTATTGTAACCAACAAGACAAATTAAATAATATCTGTGGATCTACTAATGATATCAGGATTATCTAAGTGTAAAATGTGGCTTTTAAAGCCAAGAATCTGAAAATATGATTAGGTCATTTGGACCAAATTTGACTTAATCCTCATTTCGATGTCATGGGTCACATTTCAATAATCTTTCTGATCTATTTCTGGTCACTTCCAGGAGACTCTCCCCCATCATCCACTCTGCCACACCAGCCATGCCCTGACAGTGGAGCTGTTGATACCCTCCCAGCTCCAAGCACCACCTCTCAAAATGTCCATAAAGGGACAGTGGATGCCAAACAGCCACCATCAAAACCCCAGAGTCGAGTTCTGCCCCAGCCCCCACCTCAGTCATTCTTATACCCTCAGACTGCACCTCCCCACCAAAGCCAAGTTCAAGTTCAAAGTTATCCCCAGGTCCAGCTAAATCCCCGGCCCCAGGCACCGCCCCAGGGTCAAGTTCAACCATTGTCTCAAACAAATCCTCAACCTTGCATTCAAACCGTCTCCCAGCAGCAGCAGCCTCATTCCCAGGCACAAACTCGTTCCAAATCCGCATCCTCTGGTTCTTCATCCCCACAGACCTCCTCCTATCATCTGAGATGCTCTTGGGTGCGAGGACTGAGTCGTCCGCCCGCTGTGCTCCTCCCTCGTGCCATCTATGACATTATCACAGCCAGTGACAGCAGTGGGCTCCCACGATGTACTTCATTCTTGCCACATATGTCTGTTGCTTGGGCAAGCAGCTTCAGGTGCTAAAAACATCTTTTATACTGCAAATTATGCAATACTTAAGGCTAATAATATTCAGTTATATTGATTTAACTTGGTTTGTATCCAAACCTTAAAGTCGAAAACATTCGTTATGTTTACATGTTTACATGCATTGTCTTTTTTGTACAGACCTTTACTAAATAAAATGATGACATGTACAGAGCAATCACTCTACTATCGTCAGTGGACGGTCCCTCGTTCCTACCACATGGACAGCAGCAACCACACTGAAGGAAGAAGTGACAACTTTCATCCTCGCAGGCTGCTGCTCAGCGGACCCCCACAGGTAATGTCAGTCTTTCTATTTTGTTTTCTTTTGTGTTTTCTCTCTTTCTCAGTTGCATCTCGAGGCCTCTTGGACCATTTTGGGGTAAACTTTTCTCTTAATTGTTTAAAGACCCCTGAGGGTTTAAAAATAGCATCTAAGCTTTTATTACCTCTCAACTAAATCACTGCCTGTTTTTTCAATGCAAACGAAAAAGGCCGGTTGTTTTATTGCCTTCACACCTTTATAAAAAAGGGGGCCTAGTTTGTATTGAAGACATTGCTTGTGTTTTTCTAACTGAAATTGCCCATTTTTTATTGTATGATTGTTTTATCATCATATTTTCAAACTAATTTGCTGTTCAGACTGTGTCCCTCTAAACTCCATTTCCTCCTTTTTTGTGCTGTATTAATGCATATATTAAGTTAATTTTCCCCTTGCTGTTTGTCCCATGCTCAGGTGGGTAAGACGGGGGCTTATCTGCACTTCCTGGGTATCCTGTCCCGCATGCTGATCAGGCTCATGGAGGTGGATGTCTACGATGAGGAAGACATCAACTGCAGTCAGTATAATAGTAGAAGAAACCATTTTTTACCCATGCCAGATTAATAACCAGGGTTCGACAAATCTGCCCGACTGCCCGGGGCAGGTAAAACCCATTGTTGGGCAGGTGGGTGTGTCCCAATGCCTGCCCGACCGGGCAGGTAAACAATTTCTTTTTTTATAGGGCCATTTATTCAAATTCAACTGAAAATAAATGAAGAAATATGGCATTTTAAAACACGTAAAGAGAGAATAAATCGTCAAAATGTCCCCCTCCCTCCCGCTGTAGAAAAGTTACATCTTGCCGTCGTGTCGCAGGATCACAAGTTCCTCCCTCCTTCCTGCTGCACGTCGCTCAGAGGGCAGGTTTAACAACCGTAGCTTTTTTCACACCCATGTTTTCGGAGGGAAAAAATGTTTTTATGTATTGTTACCCACAGAGATAAAAAAAATATATGTGGACGTTCGTTCAGTCATAAATCCATCTTGCTAATGTCAGCTTCTGCTCTGATGAAGATGATGATGAAGATGAGAGAGGAGCAGCAGCGGGTCAGAAGCTCATTTATGGCAGGCCGATCTATCATTTATTTGGCTTCACCACACTTATATTCTAGTTATCTGAAATTGTTTTATGACTAAATTAGAC